GATGTTAATTTGACTTAGTTTTTGTGCGTTCCTTAAGCTAAAAACTTCTGGACTATTATTTTTTTTAAAGAACTGATGATATTATTATCTGTTGCCGGAATGATAGCGCGTTATCATATGCAGTCATAATTTTCTGAGTAGTGCTGAAGCTAGGAATTTAATCAGCCGCGTGATAACACGTTTATCATGACAGACTTTCCAGGATGTTGCTAACGCTACAGTATTCTGCGAATTATGTAAAAAAAAAAAAAGAAAAAAAACAGGATGAATGAGACTTTGGTTGTTCAAATCGCATGTACAGTAATAGCCATGTGTCATCTAGGAAACGAGGGGAAACGGAAAACAGAAGCGGGGGAAGGAGGGCGGGAAATTCTGAAGGAAATGTTCAGCGAGGATTGTTTTAGGTTTCCTGAAAGCAAGTTCCGGATCTAATTGGGGTGCCTTGGAAGTGGTCATGGTGTCAGTACTTCACCATGTCGTCTCTAAAAAGCTCTAAACTTCTGGTCAGCAAAATTCTGCTTACCTATTGCTAAAACCAACACCTCTTTTCCTAGATTTTCTTCGTTGGAGATGATGATGTGTTTCGAGAATTCTGTAAATTTTAAAGCAGTGGTCAGCGACAAAATGGTTGTCTTCGTTTTATTTCTGCTAATTCTGAAACTAAAGAAAACAGCAACGTATTCCAAATGTTTTTAGAAATTTTTGCTTCTGAGATGTTCAGTACTGTGTAGAGAAAAAGCACCTGGATTATGAGAACTAGTTCACTGTGTGACAAATAAAAAATTAATATTCCACACATCGTTCACAAGGGGGATGTGTGGGATATCAGTGTGACGGTGTAAGAAAGTAAAGTCCGATAAGGCATAGTGCTTGTTCTATGATAATTAAATGGACATCTCGTATCAGCATGTGGGAGAGTAAGCAACCACTCGTGCTGGCTCCGAAGATGTGCGGGTATGTTGAACCTGCTGTACCTCCTAGTTGGAGGTGTGCAGTTCAGGATCAAAGGGCCTGGCATAGCTGCGGCTGATATATGGAAGCCTTTTAGTAACATCACATACATCTTGCGCCGATTGTCCAGTTGGGCTTGCTGTTCTTGATATAAGCGATGCTGGTGTTCTTGATGTAAGATATTCAAATACTGTTTATTTTGAAAAGAAATGTGACGAATACAATAAATTCTTAGGATATCTATACACAATAAATTTTTAGGATTGACCGAAATATTGGTGTGAAGCCACATTTCTGGCATATGCCTTAAATAAACCTAAAAGCTAATAGTGTTCCT